AGAGCCCCGGGGGACACAGCGGGCGGGAGGGGCCGCAGAGCAGCTGCTCTCATGCCAAAGCCTTCGACCGCGCGGAGGCACCTCCTGCAGCTGCAGCACTGCCGGGGGCAGATCTCTGAGCGGGACGTGCTGCCAGGGGCCTACAGGGAGGGAAATCGGGGCAGGGTGACTCTGAAGAAAGTGTTTTCTGCCTCCCTATCTGACCTCAGCTACCCTCCCAAGAGCACAAGACGCCCAAACCAGAACACGCCCCGTCTCAGCCGGACACCCCACGCGATCCTGAGCAGGCCGGCGTGCTGATGCTTGGCTGGCCCGACTCCTCCTGCCCCCTCTCTCAGCACAGGTTTTGGGTCGGGCGAGCGCCCAACCCTCTCCCCGCAGGCAGGTTTTTGGGGTCTGGCGAGAGCCAACCCCTCTCCCCGCAGGCAGCAGCTCCCACCCCTCCTGTACTCCAGGAGTTTGGATTTTGGAGATCGGGCAGAGTTGCTAAGCAACAGTGCCAGGCTGTGCCTGGCTGAAGGCAGGACCGCTAATGCCATGTGACAGCACAGACTTTTAATAAAAAAAGAATAAAATAATAATAAAAAAAAGAGGCAGAGAGCCTGAGCAGCGCTGCCAGTTTCCGAGCGAGTGTGCAGCCCCCAGCGAGAGCCCAGCCAGCGCGGGCAGGAGGAGGGCTGAGCCCCGCAGACGTGGGGTCTGGTGACTCTGCAAACCGGAGCCACGCGAGTCCTTGATTCCCAAAACCCTCTCGAAGCACAATGTAAGGAGACAGAAACGCTTCCCCATCCCCAAGGCCAGGGAAGCCTCTGACATCAGGCGATCATCCAGGCTTGGTGTTTGTTTGTTTGTGGAGCTGGTTTTGTTTGTTTGTTTTTCCTTTCTTTTTTTTTCTTTTTAAACAGAATTCTTTACCCTACCTCCACCTAACAACTAAACAGCCCGCGTGGAAACACGGGCATGCAGAGAAGAACAGCTGGACAAAATCTTCTCCCTCGCGCTGAAGTAAGCCAGCTCTTTGGACAGCACTTTCCTTCTGGCTGGAGCAAAGGACACGCTTACACCTCCTACCCACACAGCTTAAAAATTTCCCTTCTGAACTCAAACAGCCAGGATGACCCATCGGCAACAACGGGAGTTTCACAGAGGACACGCGCACCTCGGAATCAACAATACACCTTTTCTGGACTTGGACCTTGCAACAAGCACTGGCTGTCAGGAAGTAAAATTTCACGACTGTATTTTACGCCGTGGTAGGTGGAAACATCCCCGCGCCGTTCCCAGTAACACCCGAACAGCATTCAAACATCAAATGCATCTGCAGGCTCCCATGGAGCGGGGAGGCGCTCTGGTCAGTACTGTGACAGCAGACTCGTTTCCCAGATACGTGTAAATATGCACAGGTTCTGTAATTTATTCAATTACCAGGTTACTAGATTTGCACATACAGAAAGAAAAAAAAACCACAACCAACAAATATACCAGGGAAGCTTGCATGTGATTGTCCTCCAGGGTTGTTCCAGCAAGAAAATCCAATTTCTCTTTGTTCCAGCATTAGTAAATTACTCGAGGGGGAAAAACAAAGTGACCACTGCATACCAATAAAGCCATATTCAACTCCAAACACTAAAGCTGCTGTTTCACACCAAACTGTGGACCAGCACTAAGAAAGGAAAACCAAAACTCTTAGAATTGCTGGAGAGCCCAGCCACTAATTGCCTCCTGCTTAATGGCATTCAATCTCCATGTGCGAGTCAGCTCAGCCTCTTTCGCTGTGGGTTTGGGTAAGCAGAATTGAAAAAAAAAAGAAAAAAACCTTTAGCTAATCTGATTTGCATTTCTTAGCTGAATGTAGTGGTCCTTTAAAATTTAACCAAACTTAGCCTGTTGAATAAACGGCGTAAACAAGGCAAAGGGAGCTTTAGCACAGGGGAAACCTCAGCTGGTGCAGTTGCACACCCCGCCCCCAGACTATCTGAGCTACAGCAGTCTAGGAATGTATTTTCATGTGCTGGATTCTTGAATTTTCATTAAAAACCAAACCACACAAATCAGTTAATTTAGGGCTGGATGAGAATGCAAGAGAGATGAGGATGCTGGGCTATAACCATGACCTTGTGTCTCCACTACAAGTTGAATTTCTGAATATGGTTTTCTCCACAGAACTACCCTACCCTCTTCCAAAGAGGCAGATGCACAAACCAGCTCTAAGGAATTCAAGACACGCAGCGCATCCCAGGTACACCTTGGACTCATGATACAAGTCCAGCGAGACTCCTCCCTCATCGCCACTCAGCTCCAGCCCTGAAGAACAGCCTCAGGCTGGCGCCAGCTCCCACGGCTGGGAACCC